TGTTCCTAAGATGTCTTCCCACAGACATCAAGAACTTGATGGTCATTCAAGCAAGCATCGACTATCACACTCTTGACTCCTTCAGCAAGAAGGCCTTGGACTTAGAGGCTAAGCTAGGAGCAACACAGCAACCTGCAATGGACGGTAGGAAGAAGAAGACCCCACAAGAATAGAAAAAGAAGGGTAGTCGATTGGTGATGGTTGATTCCAATGGGAATCAAACCAAGATCGATGATCTTTCCGATCTTGTGGAGGAGATAGAGTTAGGCAGAGAGGAGAGTGCAGAGGGTAGCAACCTCGCTGCAATAACCAAAGGAAAGGCTACTGGCCGCGGCAAGGGCGGTCAACAAAAGAGTCAGGGGGAGGCCCAAAACTCAAATGTGGTTATGCCTTGCAATGCGCCGGGAACATTCCAGCACGCCATGAATAGGGTCTTCCATGACTACTTAGATAAGTTTATCGTCGTGTACCTCGACGATATCCTCATCTTTAGTAAGTTTGTCGAGGAGCATGCGCAACATTTAGATCTTGTGTTAGGTCTCCTTAGACAGCACAAGTTTAAGATCAATCAAGAGAAATGTTAGTTTGAACGCACAAAGATCTTATAATTGGTTCATGAAGTATTCGCCAATGGAGTTAGGGTTGAAGATGCAAAGGTGGCCTGCATTCGTGATTGGCCACGACCTCAGTCTGTGACAGAGGCCAGATCATTCTTAGGGATAACCGGCTACTACCGCAATTTCGTAAAGAACTGTAGTATGGTGGCTGCCCCTTTGACTGATCTAACGCACCTCGACACACCATGGGAATGGACAGACGAGTGTGAGGCAGCCTTCAAACGATTGAAGTATGCTTTCATGAATCATGAAGTCTCATCGGGGTCCCCGATCCGGAGAGGTCATTTGTCGTGACCATTGACGCAAGCCAATATGGCGTAGGCGCAGGAAGGGAAGAAGTTGAGGCCGATCGAGTACATGAGTAAGAAGATGTCATCTAAGAAGTTGGCAAAGTCCACCTACGAAAGGGAACTCTATGCCCTTTACGAGGCTCTTGTCCACTGGAGACACTATCTGTTGGGAAGGTTCTTCTACTTGAGGACCGACCATCAGACACCCAAGTGGATCAAGACATAGCCTGTTCCTTTTGATGCACTCAAATGTTGGATTCAAGTCATAGATCAATATGACTGCAAGCTAGACTATGTGAAGGGAGAGTACAACAAGGTTGTTGATGCCGTTGTCACGTAGGGCAGACGACCTAGGTGCGCTAATTACTGAGTTTAGCCTATCTGACGAAGTAACTTGATTGTTGGTGAATGCCTACAAGGAAGATCCCGTCATGATGGACATCATACGCAGACTAGAGGCTCAAGACAAGACTGCATCTGATGAGTTTGTGATGGTGGATGGGTTACTCTTTCTTGAAAAGGTAGGGTTTAAAAGACGGTGTGCCATCTAGTGAAACTTTGCGTAGTTTATTTTTAGGTGAGTGTTATGATGCGACAGGTCACTTCGGCTACAAGAAGACTAGTGCTAACCTAGTACAACGTTTCTGGTGGCCTGGTATGCTTGATGATGCGAAGAAGTATGTCCAGACTTGCCAATTCTCTCAGCTTGACAAACCGCAAACTCCCTTGCCCATTCCTGCGGGTCTGGGACAGAGTGTCTCCATGGATTTCATGGATACCCTCGTGACCAGCAAGAGTGGCAAGAGCCACATCTTCGTCATAGTAGACAGACTCACTAAGTACGCTAGACTAATCCCTATGCCGGAGACTGCCAAGACTGAGCACGTCATCAAGTTATTTATGGATAACTGGGTGCGTGGCTTTGGAGTGCCCAAGACCATTGTTAGTGACAGAGATGTCTGATGCACCAGTGAAATGTGGAAGAGGGCTGCTGAACAGATGGGCAATCAACTCCAAATGACTTCGAGGAATCAGCCCAAAGCCAACGATCAAGCGGGACAGATGAACCGCGTGGTGCAGCATCTGCTGAGGCATTACATTAATCCCAGCCAATCCCAGCCAGGATGACTGGGATGAGAAGTTGGCTCTCATTGCCAGTCTCTACAACAACGCTGTACACTGCACCACCAGCGGCAGTCCAAACGAGCTGCATTTTGGGTGGAAGCCTAGATCTGCACTGGACTTCCTCCTTCTGACCAGCTGCAACTCCTGGAACCATAGAGTTTGGTGTCCAGTATGAGAAACTGTTGCAGCAGGCTGTCGAGCACATCAGAAAATCTCAGGAGGCAATGATTGTGACAGTCTAAATTTCAGGTAGGGGAACGTGTCTGGGTAAAGGCTAGTGAATTAGGATAGAAGTTTGGAATCTCTCGTAAACTAATGCCGCAATATTTTGCTCCTTGGGAAGTCTTCGATATTGTGGGCAGTGATTTGGATGGGCCTTCGTATGTGATAAGAATCCCTGGTCATCTACGCACTTGCCCTGTATTTCACGCTTCCAAGCTTGCACCTTTTACTGAGACTGATCAGTTCCCGTCAAGGAGATAATGCTGCCCCCAACCATGGATGGCCATGTGGACGTCGACGACATTTTGGAACATAGAGACTTGCAGAGACTTGCCTGTTTCCAAGTCTGTCGGCAGGGGAAGACCGCCCAAACCTATGAGGGAGTACCGGGTCAGATTCAGGCACCATACGGATCCAAAGGAAGATCGGTGGTTTGCAAAAGAGGAGCTCGTCAGAACAGCGCCTCAGATCGTGGCAGAGTATGAACGAAAGTTAAAGGGGAAGGCACCTGCGTAGAAGCATCTCAGCGGACTTTCGAAGCTAAGGGGGATGGAATGCGAGGAATGAGCCCTCGCTGGGCTCTTATCAGACATGCAAGTGTTTTGGGCTGCGGCCCCCAGCAAGCCTCGTGCCCGCCCTAAGTGAAGGCGGGCCTGAATATCCACATGAGGCCTACCTTAGACATTCCTTATGTCGGGTATCAGACAGTTGCAGCACGCCAGAGAGAAATGTGAGTCTCTCCTGGCTCTTTCCAAAAGAAGCAGCTGTGACGTACAATTGAGCCCAGGGCTCGGGTGGTTGCGCCCTGGGCACACACATTGTGAGGTCGACACGTCACGCAGTGGCCGGCAGCCAATGAGAAAGCAGCATTGTCGTCACACATCTACCTCGAGCCAATGGGAATGCGGCAAACACTTGGAGCCTGGAGGGCTGCCTGGACATGCCCAACTGTAAAGGGCCCAGGCCCATAACAGCAAAGGTGCACCGGGGCGCAGACACTGAGGCCCAACTGGAAGCTACTGGAAACTTGCCCAGCCAGGCCCACACAGCAGACACAGGGCCGCACTTTCCATAAAGGAAAGTGCCCTGCCCAGGCAAGGGCATTCTGGCCTAGGCAGGCATAGCAGCCACGCTGCTGCGGTAGCGCTAGCCGGTAAGACGCGCGCGCGGGCGCACAGAGGTGAGAGGGCGCTGTGGTGGCAGCGGGCGCACGGCGGCCATAGCCGGGCGGAGCGTGCGGGAGCAGGTGGTGGCGATGGTGGTCTTCGGGTAGGAGGTGCATGAGGTGGGCTCAAGGTGTGATGAGGGGAGGAGAGAGAGCGTACCTGGTGCATGCTGGTCATCTGCATTGGTGACGACGTCACCTGCATTGGTCTTCAACTTCGATGTGATCCAGTTGCATGAACGCAGATAGGTGTTGGTAGGCTGAGTAGTGTAGGCTGGGCGCTGGGTGCCAGACAGTAGGAGCGACATTGGATACTGTGTTGGTGTGGCCAGAGAGCGTCGACATTGGCATACGAGTTGATTGTATTGCTCTTATTTGGATGGTATTTTGGTGCATTGTGCTCTCTGCTTGGTACATGACTATCTCGACTACTTCGTGATTTTGCAACTTGGATTTCTCTCTATCAATCTCGCTCGTATTCCTTGCAAAAGGGGAAAGGCGAACAAAAATGCAAATATATATTAATTAATTAATAATTTAATAGCTGGTAAATAGGTTGCAGTGTTGTTGCACCTTCAGTAAGTTTTTATGTGCACAAGTGAACAAAGGAGTGTGTGTGTGTGTGAGTGGGTTGTGTGTGGTGTGTGGGAGAGTGTTGGCCTTTGACACTGCTGCTCCTCGATGGGGGTGGGGGAAGATGAAAAGGGAGGTGCAGCTACTGGCAAAATGCTCGGTCCTTGTGTTAGCCGGACCCCCACTGCTGGCCCCACCCCATCTCTGACTACTGCTGTTGGGGGGGGGGGGCAACATGCAATCCCTTCATTGTGAGGTAGCGATGCTTGCAGGGGTCCCCTCTATATAGCCTTAGGAGTAGTGGTAGGTAGATAGTGAAAGGCAAAAAACCGAATTTGAGAGAAGAATGTAGTGTAGCTTCTGGAAAAAAAAAAAAGAATATCGTTCTCTAACTTAGGCAATTCTCTGTACTGCCTTCTGATGGCGGTGCGTTCGCTGGGTGGCTCTTTTTTTTGGCTTTTTTTTCAATCCTACCCAAAGAAAGCGTTCCCTGGTTGCTAGCACCTTGCCAGGAGATAGGAATATCTGGGCAGATAATCAAACTTGACGTTTTTTCTTTTTTTCTTTTTTCTTTTTTTTAATGATAAAAAGTTAAAAACAGTCCTTAGGCTTATGGCCCTCAAAAGTGAGTTTTTTTTGCCTCAACATATTGTCAAATCCGACGTGTCCTTTCAAATTTCAATTGTTTCAAGTCTTGGAACAAAATAAAAGTCATTTAGTACATTGAAATTGTCAATCATTAATGTATTTCCATTATAAGGGACGATGGACCCGGTTCCCAGCACGTGCTCCCCACGAATAGATTGGAGCAATTTAAACAAAAAGAAAAAAAAAGAAAAAAAAAAAACATTCCGCATTGTTTTCTAAGAAACCACATTAAATTTAAAACAAAACAAAAAAAAAAACATGGTTCCTGTTTTCTGGATGCTATCTGTGTCAACTAACTTTGAACTTTGAACTTTGAATTTTGATTTGTGAACTGTGAACTCTGAACTTTCGACTTTCAAGCGCAATGCTGATGGGAGGGTGGCCACACCGGATATGATAAAAGCGGAGAGGGAGAAGAATCTTGCAGTGGATCCTGTAGCAGACAGGCCAGAGGTGAGAAACCTCAATTCTCATCTCATTTTCATTAACCTTATTGCATCCATCTGATTCCTCGTGTTTTCTCCTCTCTCTCTCTCTCTCTCTCTCTCTCTCTCTCTCTCTCTCTCTCTCTCTCTCTCTCTCT